GAGTGTAGCGTTTGTGTTTTTTTTGAGATACAGTCTTGCTCTGTCACCAGTCACCAGTAACCAGGCTGGAGTGCAGTGGCGTGATCTCAGCTTACCGTAACCTCCAACTCCCAGGTTCAAGCTATTCTCCTGCCTCAGCCTCCCAAGTAGCTGGGATTACAGGCATGTGCCACCACACCCAGCTAATTTTTGTATTTTTAGTAGAGATGGGGTTTTACCATGTTGGCCAGGATGTTCTCGATCTCCTGACCTCACGATCCACCCACCTCGGCCTCCTAAAGTGCTGGGATTAAGGTGTGAGCCACTGCGCCCAGCCTAGAATTTTTAAATAGAAGATTTTCAGTATCATAAATCTCATTGCAAAGGAAGGCTAGATTATTTATCTTAATATTAAATTTTCATAAAGCAAATTTATTTATTTAGGGTGGCTTTGAAGGGGTTATCCCTTGATACCTCTGACACTGCATGGCCATACGCCATGACGCCTCTGTGTTGCCACTGATGCTAATGAGTAATAAGCCCACAGCAGTCAACAAAAGAAAGGAGGAAAAAAAGAGGTGAACTACCTCTGAAGAAAGACTAGTTTGTCATGTACAAAGTAAAAACAACAGTTAGTGGTTAATATACCTGGGATCAAAGGAGAAGTGATAATAGTTAATTCTCCTTTCAGTGCTGGCAGACTTCTCAAATATGTTTCTATTTCATTCTGAATTTCTCTTAGTTCTTGAGCTGTGATAATGTTTATTTCAATGGACTGTTTCAAAGAGTCTCCCCTGAAAGTCACTTGCAAATCTTCAAATTCAAAATTGTAAACATCAGTGAAGAGTTGATCAATAAAAGCTTTCATTAATGTCTTCCTGTGCCTGGGTACAATGACCTTAATGCTGCTCAGATTTCTTTCATCAATTTTCTGCTTAATGGTATACAAAGAGGCAGCCATGCTGGGACAGCTAACAATCTCAAACTCTTTCAAGAGAGCTGATAATCCATTGCCTGTTTCTAACTCACAATTATCTTGTTCTCCATCCCTTTCATAGCTGATGTTACTGCAACACATTATACAAAGAAACTTGGCCTTGGCTGCATGGTGGTATTGGACAGCATTCAACGTCTTCAGTAATGTCTGAGGGCAGTTTTTTTGAGAGTTCAATTTCAAATAAAAAAGATCAGTCAAAACCGCTTCTGCCATCCTTCAAAGAATACTTTTGTGGCAAATAAATCACCTGTGAAGAAAAATTAGTGTAAGAATATAAAATTATATAAATCCTCTTATAGTTACAACAGAAATTTGTGGTAGATTAAAAAAGAAGTAATTGGCTGGGTGCAGTGGCTCATGCCTGTAATTCCAGCACTTTGGGAGGTCAAGGTGGGTGGATCACGAGGTCAGGAGTTCAAGACCAGCCTGGCCAAGATAGTGAAATCCCATCTCTACTAAAAATACAAAAATTAGCTGGGCAGGGTAGCAGGCACCTGTAATCCCAGCTACTTGGGAGGCTAAGGCAGGGAATTGCTTGAACCCAGGAGGTAGAGGTTGCAGTGAGCCAAGATTGCACTACTGCACTCCAGCCTGGGCAACATAGTGGGACTCCCTCTCAAAAAAAAAAAAGAATTACATTGACTTCAAAATGTAACCAAAATAGTAAATCTAGGCCCCTCCCAGAAAAGCCAATCTACTCTGTCATAAGAGAACCATGACAATGAAAACAAAGCCATCTTTTAATTTGTTTTGTGAAAATGTTGGTACATCTTTCCAGCAGAACAACAGTTCAACTGTTTTGTGTTGTTTGCATAGAAATTTTAAGTAAAGAATTACTTGCTGAGTTAGGCAAAGTCCTGTTTTTTAATTGCAGGGTGTCAACCTGTGTGATATATCATTAGTCCTGACATGATTGTCATATTAGTTCTCATCCTTTCATATGTGGGGACTTAAGTTCATGAAGCTAAACGGAGCTGCACCCGAATTTCGCATTTTAAGGTGATAAAAGCTGAGATGGCTAACAGCGTTCCCTTCAGGATTTGTGCAGTACTTCACTCTTAACAATGATCACAAAAGTTACAGCGTTTTGGATGAGCCAGGCTTCCTCGCTACTTTCTTAATTCATTCTCCCCGTGCAGCTGTGCTTACCTCCGGCCCACCCCTCCCACCCCATCCTGCGGGTCTCCGGTGACCCCCTCTGGTGACGCCATTTGCCCCAAGAAGGTTTTCTCCTGCCTCTTCCCCTAACCTTCGCTCCCCATCGCTCGGGGCTCCCTCTGAGATTCATTTCGCCAGTTGTGAGTGGGTGACCGTCCCCCTCCCCTATTCATTGTGAATTTCCACCCAACGTGTGTTGCCGCCGGGTCCCTGTTCCTCCTAACCGCCTTGGCTCACGGGGCGCAGGCTGTGGCTCTGCACCTGCCCAGGCATCTCCACCTGCCGCTCACCGCCCATTCGAGACTTCCTGTAGGACCACGCACAGCAGAGGTGATTGCTCTGTCCTCGCCTTCCCGCTCTTCATCTTCGGCTGCACATCCGTCTACTGCGACCTCTGTGACGATTTGCCGCCCCGACCCTCGTCCTGAATCTCAATGAAATTGAGCAGCCAACAGCAGGTCGTAAGCCCGGCCTAGAGGCGACGACACCGCCCCGCCTCACCTCACCCACCTCTCCCCACCTCACCTCACCCAGCTCGACTTGCCCGCGCGGATCCCCCGCCTGACACCGTCCCGGGATTCCAGGAGAAGCCTGACGGCCCGGTTCCCGCGGGCCAACTGCCGGGAGGCGGGAGGGAACTCAGGCAGGGCCGCCCGGGGTGAGCTGTGCGGACGCCGCTGGCCCAGCGCGAGAGCCGGGGAATCCCGGGATGAGCCAAGCGCCGCGCGCTCGCTGCTGCCTCAGCATTTCCGGGTTTGGGCGGCCAGCCGAGCCGGCACCCTGCAGCCCAGCCGGGGTTAGAGGAACAAGAGCCAGAGTCGCGAGAGGGCCCTCGGGCCGGAGCTAGGCGGGTTAGCGAGTGGGTCGCCGGGAGTCAGCGAAGGGCCCCTTGAGGAGGGATGGGGGGCGGAATGACGGGTCCCGGGAGCGGGCTCTGGGTGGCGGGAACTGCAGATCTCCAGAGTGCACGGGGAGGGAACTAGGGGCCGGGTTAGAGAGCGTGGGGCGGGAGGGAGGGATCAGCTGGCACCGTGAGGGAGCGCCGGGCGGCGCGAAGGGGCGGGTCGCGTGAGGCGGGGCTGCTGGAGCGACCTCTGGAGTGAACCGCAGTCTCCCTTCAGCTAACGGAAGCTGAAGTCCCGGCTTCCCCTTTCTGAGGACCCCTCGCTGACCCAGCAGTGTGGTCAGGACGCTGGGTTTCCTCACGGCAACCTAGGCAGGGCTCAAGTCAGGGGCCCCCTCGAGGAGATGTTTTTACTGTTTTGCTGCTATTGTTGTTCGTTTGTTTCCAGAAACAAACCATTGTCTCTGTGCTGGTTCTTTCTTGCGGATGGGACCAACACTTTGGAGCGCCTTCACTTGTGTTAACAATACAGATGTCCTCTATGGCCCTTTAAAATACGTGCCACTAGCAAGACTGAAGTAAAAGGCCCTCATCCCTAAAACCATGATAAAGGTACAATTTAGCATCCCTGATCTGTCCTCCAGGATTATAGTGTTCATTTATTTGAAAATACTGCGCATTATGACATGGAAGGCCAGTGTATGGTAAAGGGAAAAAATATCCGACCTTCTAAGAGTAACAGAAATGGTGCTTTTTGAGGAACTGGTTATGATGGAAGGAGAGGTTCCTTTTTTCTTTATTGTTGCTCATTTGATAGGTGCGAAAAAACCTTTGTCTCATAATCTCAGATGGCTGGGAGTTGGAAGAGCTCTCTGGGGTAGGCGCGTTCTTGTCTTGACTAGAGAATGGGAGCACTAACCCGGAATAGGAACCCACCCTTCAATAGCTCTAGCACCAGTTTTGTCAAAATTCGTATTTTCTTTGGTCATTTGTTAAGAGCGCGGAGCAGTAGATGGTACACCCAATCAGATAGTGCGCTCTGCCCTGAGTTTGTTTCATGCTAAATATTATTAATGGTTGGTGCAAATGTAATTGCGGTTTTTGCCATTGACAAAGACTGCAATTACTTTTGCAACAGCTTAGTACCTGAAGCAGAATAGGTCTTTTAGTTACAAAGGCTTTAAACAATTATCTTTGTTTTTACAATGGTGGGAATTCATATTCTTTCATGCAACAGTAGTGGCAGTAAAAGATGAAAATATTTCAAAAGAATGAAGTTGTCATGGGAGAGAGAGTTTGTTATATTGTATTTGCATTCCATTTCCTTTCACCATCTGTTCCTAGTGTCATGTTCTAACACTTCCTCATCCCATTTTCACTCTATCCTACTCCAGTGGTTCTCAGTCTTGGCTGCAAATCAGAACTACAAGCGCAACTTAAAAAAAAATAATGTTGAGACTCCACCCCAGATATACATTGAATCAGAATCTCTAGGAGTCAGCCTGAGCATGTTTTGCTTTGCTTTTTTGTTTTGTTTTAATCTCTATGTATGATTCAGATGCATAATTAAGTTTGAAAAAAATCAAAAACACCCTATTCCCAAGCCACTCAAATAATAGTTGTTCTTTGGAGGCCACATAATTTCATTCTTTACATTTGCAGTTCCTCTACTTAGCACAATACCCTCCTCTTGTATGCCTAACTGCTACTTTTTGTACAAGGCTCTTTAAGCTCAAACATAATCTTCCCTGAATCCCCATCCTTCATCAAGCAAAATTAATAGCTTCTTTACATTTTATATAAGAAGCCCTTTCATAGATGGCACATAGCCAAGCAATAAATGGAAAAAATGGTTAAATATTAAATTGTACACTTTATAAGGATGAACTTATATGTGGTATGTAAATTATATCTTTAAAAAAGCTTTTTTAAAACAAAAAACAACCTAAAACAACTGTGCGTTCACTTGCCAAATCTATTGAAAAGGTCCAAGACCTTTTCTTTGCATGTAGTCTACTGTTGGAATTCTGCATTCTATCTCTCGCATAAACTGTACCCCTAAAGTATCAGCTAAGATTAACTTAAAGCCACTTGTGAAACAATCTGAGGGTGGATTTATACTTTATAATCTTTTTATTTGTTTGTATTTGAGACGGAATCTCACTCTGTTGCCCAGGCTGGAGTGCAGTGGCATGATATTGACTCACTGGAAACTTTGCCCCCCAGGTTCAAGCAATTCTCTTGCCTCAGCCTCCTGAGAGCTAGGATTACAGGTGTGTGCCACCCCACCTGGCTAATTTTTGTATTTGTAGTAGAGACGGGGTTTCACCATGTTGGCCAGGCTGGTCTCGAACTCCTGACCTCATGATCCACCCACCTTGGCCTCCCAAAGTACTGGCATTATAGGCATGAGTTACCACTATATAATCTTTTACAGTTAATCCCACATACCTTTGTTGGATCTTTCCAAAATATCAAACATAGATTTTTTTTTTTTAAGACGGAATCTCGGCCTGTCACCAGGCTGAAGTACAGTGGCACAATCTTTTTTTTTTTTTTTTTTTGCCTCCTGGGTTCAGGCAATTCTCCTGCCTCAGCCTCCTGAGTAGCTGGGATTACACAATCTTGGCGTACTGCAACCTCCGCCCCCTTGGTTCCAGCAATTCTCCTGTCTCCGCCTCCTAAGTAGCTGGGACTAGAGGTGTGCACCACCACACCTAGCTAATTTTTGTATTTTTAGTAGAGATGGGGTTTCACCATGTTGGCCAGGATGGTCTCAATCTCTTGACCTCGTGATCTGCCCACCTCGGTGTCCCAAAGTGCTGGGATTACAGGCCACCATGCCCGGCCTTGAACATAGATTTTTAAAGAAACAAGAATTTCCACACTGTTTCATTTGTTTATACAATATTCATAACTTAATGTTGTAGTTATGACAGTACAATATCGAGTACAAATGGTAAAAACAGGTTTGCAAACAAACACAAGTAAGTCATCTGATTGAACAAGTCAACTGATAGGAGCAGACATGGACAGATTTACTGTTATCCAGCAAATCTGATATGGGAATTAGCCACTTATGACTTACAAAGGAAATAGAGTGAGTTAACTGGTTAGAGGTTATGTGTAGATAGGCTAAGACATTGGCTACTGTACCTCTTCATTTTAGTTGACTATGTGTCTTTCTCCCTACAGTGTTTTGAGGGCAGAGATAGTGCCTGCCTATTAAGGGAAACCACTGAAGAAATCCCCAGACACTTTTATAATGCTATGTAAATCTTCTCATGAGAAGAAGTAGAATTTTAAAAAACAAAGCAGTTGTTTCTAAGCCATTTACATTAAGGTTTATGGATCTTTCCAGAAAAGGCCAGGAAGGAGATGCGTATTTCCTTGCTAAAAGCTTTTATTAGTTTCCTAGGGCTGCCATAACAAATTAGCACTAACTGGGTGACTAAAAACAACAAAACCTTGTTCTCTCACAGTTATGGAGGCCAGATTATGAAACTGAGGCATTGACAGGACCTTGCATCTTTTGCTTACCTCTTCTGTCTGGTGACTCCAGGTGTTCTTTGCCTAGGGGCTAAGTGACTTGGAACTCCATGCCTCCATCCTCAAATGGTCTTCTTCCCTGTGGTTCTAAGTTTCAAATAGCCCTCTACCTTTCTCTTACAAGCATTCTTGTGTAGAAATAAATGACGATCAATCAAATGAAAACAAGCAAAGCCTATTTATTCAGACCTTGTAAGGGAGGGAATCACCATCTCTTGCATTTTAGCAGAGTGAAAGGCAGCCAGAGGAGTGAGCTTGCCCTGATTAGAGGCTCTTGGCATGAGGAAGCTGCAGGCAGGCTAACTAGAAGTGGAGAATTCTATGTGATTGGTTAGGGGGGCATATTCAGCTTCTTCTTGTTAGTCTCAACTTGGAAATAGGAACAGAAGTTAGGGAAGATGCCAGTTAATAATCCAGTACTGGCCATTTGGGCCAATTGTTATTGTTTGTTTCCTAGGATTGTTATTAGAGATAATGATATGACTTGCTACAAGTCTAATTTATAGACTTCCTGGACTGGTTACTGTAGATAATGGGTTGATTTCCTGGGTTGCTGGCTGCAGGTTGTGGGTCAGAGTTCTATTTTTACATATGGTCTGGCTGTTGTCCATTTGCATATTCAGTCACCCACCCTAAATCCAGGATGATCTCATCTCAAGATCCTTAACCCAATTATATCTGCAAAGATCCTTTTTCCAAATAAGGTCACATTTCCAGGTTCTGTGAGTTAGGACATGGATATATCTTTGGGTGTGCGGGAGGGCACCATTTAACCCACTATAAAGTTCCTCTTGGTTTAGAAATCATGTTTACTTGTTTAGAAGGGGGGAAAAAAAAGACCTTGCCCCTTGCCTCTCTGAATGAGACAAGCAGGTAGGCTATAACTGGATTTCACCAAAGGTCTATAACTTCGGTCTCAGAGGTAGAAACCTTTTTGAAACAGTTGCCTGGACATCCTTTAAAGCTTGGATTTGAGCTGCAGACCAACTCCTTTATGCCTACACTCCAAAACAAGAAATGTTTGGTAGTCCAGTACTGTCTATACATTTAGCAAAGCCCCTCCTTTGATAGAAAACTGGAAGCAGTGTGGATAATGTATGAATGTTGCCTATATTATCTTGGATAGGAGGTAAGGAACAGTACGAATCCTTTGGTTTCCTTCTTTTTCAATGCCCTGAAACTCTAATCTCACTGCCTGACCAGAAAAGGAAGTAATCCCTAGTTTCAGCAGATTCAGTCGTACTGGTATATAATAGGTCTACAGTTTATTTTTAATTATTCAATTAATTGATTCTTTTTGGATGACTCTGATGATGTTCTAATTTATCTTAAAAACATATTTTTAAGAGACAGTCTTGTCTCTAAAGGCTATTTAATTTGTGCAGTTCTAATGAATTATCAGTAGATGGCAGTAGTTCATTTCATTTTTCTTTTCACTGCACAATAGAAATCTGACGGAAAAAAAACTAAAACTTTTCCAATTTTACAGCATAAATTTTATGAATAGTTGGTTTAAATAAATATTACCCAAGAGTTCTTCAATTTATATTGCTATAGAAATAGAGATCAAGAAATACTAGTTACTTTATTTTTATTATATAAATCCAATTTTCTTTATCCTTTAGGTTACGTTATCAAATACTTTAAGGAATACTAAAATGAATAAAACACTATATTTGCCTTCGTAGTGCTTACAATCTAATGGGGAAAGATACTATAAAATAATGAAAATAATAAAAATAAAAATTTGTTGCGTATTCATAGCGTGACAGGAATTTGCTAAATGCTTTACATGCATTATTTCATTTAGTCTTCACAATAACCCTAATGAAGCAGGCACTAATATTGTTCCCATTTTATAGGTTAGGAACGTGTGGCCCAGGTTGGAAATGATTTTCCTAATAAGCTAATAAGTAATGCAATCTAGATTCAAAACTAGCTCTGTCTTACCCTAGACTTTGTACCTTTATCTAAAATTATATAATAGAAATATTGAAACAATTCTTCTAAAAAAAGAAAGTCCACATCTTCCCAGAAAGATCAAGAAAGACCTCTTAAGAAAATACCAGCTAAAGTGGAATTGAAAGATTGGCTGTGATGTTGACATGATTAGAACAGTGCTTTCAGAGCATTATTCTGTCAGAAAAGGGTGAATTGGAGTAGAGATAAACTATAGTTAGACACCTGTTATGTGCCAGGCACTTCTAGACCTCTGTCATCATGGAGCTTACATTAGTAGAAGGATAAGGAAGAGAAACAAGTGTATGAGATGTCAGCGGTGATAAATGCTATCAAGAAAAATGAGGCAGGGCAAGGAAAGAGAGGATGAAAGAGGATTATCAGGGAAGGCTTTTCTACTATGACGGTATTTGGAATTGGTAAAGATTGATTGGATTCCAATATAATTTAAAGGTAGAGCCAATGGTTTTTGTCAAAAGAACTGCATGCAGCATGTAATGGAAAGAAAAGAGGGAAGGTTCTGGCTCATCCTTTAGATAGGTCAATCAGGGCATCAGCCCTGGAGTGTTAAGGATTTCTCAAAGGGCCCATGAAACATCAACAATAATATCTCCTTTGTTATTCCCTTGGGTACTTTTAGTTGAATTGTCTTGGGCTCTATACCCTTGTGGAGACCTCCCTGCTAATGAATTCAGGGTTTTTGGCCTGAACAACAAGAAAAATGAACTTGCAATTTACTGAAATGGAGAGGACTATGAAGGTACAGGTTTAGTGGTGGTAATAGAGTGGACAGAGGAATCAAGAGTTCAGTTTGGAATATACTGAGTTGAAATGCCTATTAGAAATCCAAATGGAGATATCAGGTAAGCAATAAGTGTGAGGATGAGTCTTCAGTTCAAAAGAGAGTTCAGGGTAGAGATACAATTTGGGAATTGTCAGCTTATAGGTGGATTTTAAAGCCATAGAACTAGATGACATCATGTGTAGAATAAGTATGAGAAAAGAAGGAAGCCTGAGGACTGAGCACTGGGAGCTGTAACATAAGTGAAAAAGATGAGAAGGGACCAGCAAAGAAAACCAAGAAGTGTGGTGTTTCAAGAAGCCAGTAATTATCAAATGTGTTAAATGATGCCAATAGGTCAAGTAAAATGATGGAACTTTTTCATTGAATGTGACAGTGTGGAGCTCATAGATATCTTGATAAGAGTTTTAAAAGTATGGTGATAAGTGATTGATTCTAGTGGGTTCAAGAAGAAAGAGGGGAGAGGAAGTGGAAAGCAAGGATCCTGGCTTTAAAGGGGAACAATGAAATGGGTCAATACTGAAGGAGGTTATGGTGTTAAGCAAGGCTGGTGGTGGTAGTGGTCGTTCATTCATGATGGGCTGTTCAGAATAATACATTTGATCAAGTAAATAGGGAAATTCTGTTGACAGGCCATTCAAAGAAGTAAATGTCTGTGAGAAAGAGTACAAAAGTAGAGGATTGGCCTTAGATAGGAGCAAGAACACTTTATTTATTGCAAGAAAATGGTATGTTGGTATACAGGTGCAGGTATACAATCTGGTAGATGGGTAATTTACCATCTTCTCTGATTTTTTTCTTCTATTTCAGTTAAATTAGAAGGTAAATTATTAACTCAAAGGAAGGGAAAAGAGGTGTGGAGGTTTGAAGACAGGATAAAAAGTGAGACAATCATCTACATAACTTGGTGCATCATAAGAGCCTAGGATCAAGGGCCCACTTGACATAATGGTCTTGAATTTAAAGTGAGCCAACAGCGTAGCTGTATGTCTTTCTTTAAGCATATTCAGCTACTTGAGTGTAAGCAAAGCAGCTGGTTGGGATTCTTCCAGGGAATTAGGACAGGGACTGAGCTGCAACGGAAATGAGGGTGAATGCAAAGGAATCTAAGCCAGGTACAGAGGAAAGAATCCATGAAAGGCTGCAGGAATGTGTAAAGATAGAAGAGTTGATGGGTTGGAAGACTTGCAGGGTTAAACAGCATATACTGTCAAAATACTAGACGAGAAGAGCTAGAAAAAATAAACAATAGTTTGAATCTGAGATTATGGATGAGGTACAGTTACACTCTATGGGTTGCCGGGTAGAATAGATGAAAGAAGACATTAAACAACTGAGAGATCAGGGTTTTAGATATACATTTTGTGTGGATATTGAAATGCCAAAGAAATATAAGAGAGTAGTGATAGAGAAACAGTAAGTCAGAAGATGCTATAATCTAGAAATGAGGCTTCCAAGACCTGGAAGACAGTTGATAACAAGGAAAGATAAAGCCTATATAGTCTATGGCCTGAACTTCGAAGAAACCAGAGTTTAGAGAGACGAAAAGGAAATAGGGTGGCAGTGGAATGGGAAACAGAAAAAAAGTCTCATCTCCAAATTTAAGTGGTTTGAAGATGAGGAAGCTGTTTCTTTGGACTTCAGTTAAGGTCAAAAGGTAAAAGGAAAGTTCACTGAAAAGGTTGACAATAGAGAGAACTTTGCTGAAGATGGCCCATGAATTTCAGAAGTCAAAGTGGAAGGATAGAAAAGGGTTGGGGAGTGGGTAGTACTGCATCACACTAAGGGACTTACCAAGCTGAATAAGGATGGGTTCTCATGATGAAGAATGACCTGGCTTCTTCTGAAGACTGAAGTTACTAGGGGTGTAGAATTTAATGGGAATGGTGCCCACAATATTTTTGGCAGCTTACGGAAGTTACACTGTGATTTGGGGGAGAGAAAAATGGGGACTCACCAGGAAGGTAAGTTACCTAGCAGAAATGTACTGTTAGGTAAGAGCATGAAGAACTCATTGGATTGCCTCTTCAGGCATGCAAATTGTGTCATTAGGCCATTGGAGGTCTGTTGGAGCTGCAGCAGCTCTATAAACGCACTTGACCAGAATATTTTCCCAAAGAAGAAATGTAGACAGTACTAGTAGGAATAGAAGGAGTAAGTTGATTAAAGTGATGTTTTAGCAACATAGGAATGCAAAATATAGTGGGCCCTTGAACAACACGGGTTTGAACTGTGCAGGTCCACTCATCCATGGGTATTTTCAACCAAACTCAGATATAGTATATGCAGGGCTTGAAACCCCCATGTAAGGAGGGCTAAGTTTTCATATGAATGGGTTCTGAAATACTGACTTTGGGACTCGAATATGCACAGATTTTTTTTTTTTTTTTTTTTTTTTGAGACAGAGTTTCGCTCTTGTTGCCCAGGCTAAAGTGCAGTGGCACGATCTCGGCTCACTGCAACCTCTGCTTCCTGGGTTCAAGCGACTCTCCTGCCTCAGCCTCCTGAGTAGCTGGGACTACAGGCACATGCCACCATGCCTGGCTAATTTTTGTTATTTTTAGTAGAGATGGGTTTTCACCGTGTTAGCCAGGATGATCTCAATCTCCTGACCTCGTGATCTGCCCACCTTGAACTCTGAAAATTGCTTAGGGTTTACCCTTGCCAGAATAGCACTGGACAGCCATACTATATCCCCTGGATTCCATACCCATAACAGAAATTGCTAATTAATGTTAATATTGTTTCTCACAGATTCTGGTTATAGTTTCAGAATCCACTTCATCATAGTACTAGAGTTACATATTATTAATACTAACTCAAAATAATTATGCAGTATATGTCAGGTACTGATCTAAGCATGCTACCTATGTTACTTTAATTATTAGAATAGCCCTATGAAGTTTTAAAGATGAGGCACTGAGGATCAAAGAAGTTAAGAAACTTACTCAAGGTCATAACAACAGAAAAGCAGGAGAAGCAAAAATCAAATATACTTTTATTCCAAAATCTCTCATTTAACCATTGTATTTTAAATCTTGGCACTAATGATGAAATGTCATTGACATCCCTGTGACATGTTTGACAATTAATTTACCTTTCAGAATCACCAATATACAACAGGAAAAAAACAGAAGTGAAAGATTATCAATATAGATTATTGAATAGGAGTAAACCAAAAAGAGGAAAAGAAGAGATTACAGACACAGAGAATGTCAGACAACAAAGAAAGGAAGAGTCAAGGAGTTCCTAAAGAAGGTAATGAAACAATCTTAAGAAATAAATAATTAAAAGATCAGCAACAACAACAAAAAAGTAGTCTGGCAGTATAATTGTGTTAAAATTGATAGCAAATTAGAATAGAGGGAAGCAGTTACATTTAGCCAGGAAAAGCATACGCAGTTTTTAGAAAAGGCATGCCAACCTGAAAATACAAGCCTATAATGAAAATACATCAGCTCTAATTGCTATAGAGTTGTTATAGTAGCACTATAATTATAGTATATGTGCAAGTGGCCTGGATAAAAAAATTAGGACAATCAAAATATTTATACTGTTCCATAAAGGAATAGGTATAACATTGCAGTAGGCAACTTTGAATTGCCTATTACTGTTGCCTTTAATTTTGGTTTTGTCTATATTAGCAAGGGAAAATTACTAATTCTAAATTTAGTTTAGGAGGAAAAAGCAACAACTATTTCATGATTTTGAGTAAAGAATCATAACTTTCTTAAAATGTCTATATTTAAATTTTTATTATATACTTTATTCTTTTGTCTAGTTGTAGATAACCAAGACACATATTCATTAGCTGATGCTGTAGAGCAAGTTGCAAAGCAACAACAATCACAGGCATCAGAGATAGAAAAAAATAAAAAAGTTCTGTTCAATTTGCAGGTAACTTCTTTTATATATAGTCTTTTAAATGTCTTTACTTTCTTCAAAAGTAAATGACCAGGAGGTTATTAAGAATACTTAATATTGGGACTTAGTTTTAAAGTTATTCTCTGTCAATTATTCTATTCTCCTTAAGTAAAGTTTACATGAGTATTCTAGTTTTATGGAAAATTTTACACTCCCAACATACAAAGATTCAACAATGTCATTGCAACTGTAGGATAGGCATGTAAAACCTAACATGTTAGATAGAATTATTTTACATTCCCTTATTTGATAGTTTTTCCTAACGTACTGAATTGAAGGAAGGTTAAGTTTTAAGCCAGTGTTTGTAAAGCTACGGCTTATGAGTTGTCGGTTGTCAGTGAACATTTCAAGTAGCCTCCCTTTATGTTCCTTTCCTTTTTAACTATATTCATAATCCTACTACAGGGAATATGGGAGCCATACTTGGTCTTTGCATGTAACATAATTAGATATAACTATACTATGTGAATATGACTAAAGAAATGAAAATGAAAACAGTATTTTGTGCTCTGTAAAGGTTATTATTAAACATATCATGAAAACGAGAAAAATAGGCTCAGGAGCTGAACTACCTAGTTCAAAAGGCCAGATTTACTACTTGTTCTGCGATTGAATTTGTTGTGCTCCTGTTTTCTTAGTTGTAAAATAGAGATAACAATAGAATGTGCCCATAAGATTTTCATGAGGATTAAATGAGTTAGTGTGTTTGGTGGGGACCAGGTGGACAGTATAGAGCCTGATTTTGACATTGGCTTTAAATGCATCAGTAGATATATAATGACAATAATTATATTATCATGGTAATATGGATTTCTTATAAATATTTGTATTATATCAGTCACTTCTAGAAAAGAATACATCTATTCAATAGAATAAAATTCAAAAACAATGTCTTATATTTTTGTAAAGAATTTTCAGTCTTCAAAGAGTTTCATAGACTTTATTTCACTTATATTGAGAGCCTACTTTGTGTTAAGGATTTTGCTGAACATTGTCCTCACTCTTATGTTACTTTTCCACTGGGGAGAGAAAGAAGTAAACAAATAATTACATGCAGAGTAGTAATACAACAATAGAGGCATGAACACAACACAGATTTAACACTAGAGAAGGAGTGATCACAAACAAAATGATGTTTCAGTTGAGTTTTAAATGGCAGCTGGAGTTCTTCTGAATGATTAGGTGTCTAGTACAGGTTTAAGGGTTAGGAAGTAAGGAAGATATTATTCAAAATAAAAAGAACCTGAGGATATTCGCAGCCTGAAATAGCATTAGTACACTCCTAGAACTGTAACCAGGTTTTTTCTTGGATGCTGGTGATTGTTGTGGGTTTTTGGCCTCCAACCTCTCAAAGAATAAGCGGTGGGGCCACTGCAGGTGGACTGTATGCTTGTAAAGCAAATATTGGACCCAAAATGTGTTGCAGAAAGGTGATTTTATTTAGGTAGAGAAAAAAGAAGGAAAGGAGAAGAAGAGAAAGGCTTCCATGAAGATTATGGAAGGGGATTCCAGAGGGGAAATACAGGAGGGAGCTCCCACTCTGTGGGAGGGGATTCCAGAGAGCTGGAAATCCGGTGCAGGTGAGGGAGCATGGACTTTTATCCTGGGAGAAACCCCCACCTTCTACAAGACCCTGGGCCAATGAAAGGAGTTCCTTAGAACTTACTCTGGAGTGATTGACTTTTAGTTTCTTCCCGTGCCCGCGAAATTCAAACATAAACAGTTGAATCTCCCGGATGGAGAGAGATGGGAGTGGGGCATGGCGCTGGGAAATTCTTGCCTTTAAAGCTACGCCCCCTCATGGACCGGGAAAGAGAACACATTCCCTCAGAACCATAAATAGTTGGATGGCAATGTAAATTACAGTGTGTTTTGAAAAAATCATGGAAGATACATACCACAATGAGAAAATCCAACTTTATTCTAAACTTGTTGAGAAGCATTTGACAGATTGTAAGAGAGAAGCAAATAATTAAATATATATTTTAGAAAGAATTCTAGATACATAAAAAGCACTTATTATAAACCAATATCCATTCATGATTAAAAAAAAACCCTCTCATCTAATTGGAAATAAAAGGGAACTTCCTTAATCTAAGGAAGAACATCTACATAAATTCTACAACCAACCACATACTTAGTGGTGAAATAATGAATGTTTTTCTTCTAAGATCAGGAATAACACAAAGATGTCTGCTTTTACTTCCATTCAAGATGGTGCTGGTAGTTCAAGCCAGTACAGCTATGTGAGGAAAAGAAATAAAACTCATCCATATTAGAAAGTAAGAAGTAAATCTGTTTTTATTCACAGATGGCATGATTTTTTTTAAAAAAGAAAATCCCAAGGAATCTATAAAAAGCTATTAGAACTAATAAGTGAATTTAAAAAGATTGCAGGACACAAGATTAATATACGAAAATTTATTGTATTTCTACATATTGACAAGAGAAAATTAGAAATTAAACTTCAAAAGCAATACCACTTACAATAACATCAAAACTATTCAATACTCAGGGGTAAATTTGACAAAAGGTTTACAAGACCAGTATGCTGAACACTGTAAAACATTGGTGAGAAAAATTAAAGAAGACCTCAGTATAGAATTATGTCATTTTTATGAACCGGAAGACTTAATATTGCTAATATGTCAGTTTTCTCAATTTTACTTACATGTGAAAAGTAGTCCCAGTCAAAATTTCAGCAGGCTTTTGGGGAGAAATATATAAGCTAATTCTAAAAGTCATATGGAAATGCGAAGGACCTAGAATAGCCAAAATAATTTTCAAGAAGAAGTGTTGGAAATCTTATACTACCTGGGACATTTTCTACACTAACAACCAATTTTCTGATTCTCTGGATGCCAACTGGGTGTCCAATTATTGATTCACTTCTGACACTATAGTAGTTTTTCCTTATTTGCAGTTTTGCTTTCTGCAGTTTCAGTTACCCATAGCCAACTTCATTCTAAAAGTATTAAATGGAAGATTCCAGAAATAAGCAATTTGTAAATTTAATATTGCAAGCCGTTCTGTATAGCATGATGAAATCTTGCACTATCCTGCTCCATCCTGCCTGGGACGTGAGCCGTCCTTTTGTCCAGTACATCCATGCCATATGAGCTACCCATTCTTTATCACTTAGTAGTCATCTCAGTTATCAGATTGATTGTGGCAGTATTGCAGTGCTTATGTTCAACTAATCCTTATTTTACTTAATGGCCCCAAAGTATCAGAGTAGTGATGCTGGCAATTCAGACATTCCAAAGAGAAGCTGTAAAATACTTACTTTTAAGTGAGAAGGTGAAAGTTCTCAGATTAAAGGAAAGAAAAAAATCATCACTGAAGTTGATAAGAGTTAAAACTACAAAATGTCTAGAAGAAAACATAGAAAAGCTTAGTGATGCTGGGCTTGGCATGATTTCTTTAATATGAGATACAAATTTTGGTGAATTTCATCCAAAAATTTTTTTTAAACTTACTCTTCAATATACACTATTATGAAAACAAAATAAGATATTCTTGCTGGGCCTTTTGGCCATTTGGGTTGCCACAGACTAGAAGAAAATACTTGAAAACACATTTAACAGTACACTTAAATTTCCACTCTATGCACACACACACAGGAACACACACACACATATACAACCCACTAGAATGTCTAAGTTTAAAAAGACTGACCATAACAAATGTTGATGCAGATACAGAAGGCCTGGAGCTCTCAGACCTGTTAGACTGTAAAATGACACAACCACTTAGGGAGACAGTTTATACTTTCTTGAAAAGTTAAACCTATCCCTACCATATACTCTAGCCATTTAACTTCTGGATATTTACCCAAGAGAAATAAATGAGTATGCCCACCGGAAAACTGGAAATAACCCAAATGCCCATCAGTTAGATGAACTAATAAACTAATATGGTAGAATATAATGGAATACTACTTAGCAATAAAAATGAAGAATTATTGATATATATAACAACATGAATAAATCTTGAAATAATTATGCTTACTGAAAGAAGACTTAAAATTTTACATTAAATAATTCTATTTATGTAAAATTATTGAAAACCAAACTAATCTTTAATGAAGGAAGGCAGACCAGTGGTTGCCTAGGAATGGACAAGTGGAAAGGGAGGAATGAATTGCAGAGTATCAAGAGGAAATGTTTTTGGATACTGGCTACATTTATTATCTTAGTTGTGGCGATGGTCTCATGAGCACAAGAAGGTCAAAATTCATCAAATTGTAAAGTTTGAATATGTATTTATTCATATGAATTTTGCCTCAATAAAGTTAAGAGTTTAAAAAGGAGAGATTGAAGAAGGGGAAAGGGTAAAGAAGAAGAGGGAGAAAAGAGGCAGAGGAGATAAAGGAAGAAGGGGAAGAGAAAAAAAATAACATAATTCTCATGTAAGGGAAGAAATGGATTAAAGGCAAAAGAAACTAAAGCCAATAAAAATTAACAGTCAATTACGTTAGTCTAAGAAAGAGAAGAGATGACTAAATTATATTGGTCAATATACTCCCTACAGTGACTAAGAGAGTTAATAGATAGCCTGATGTAACCAGCAGGGCATGTATCCCTTTCCTGACCATTGTTTGTGCATCAGTCATTCACTCTTTTAATAAATGAGTAAATTTATTCATTTATTGAGCACCCACTTTGTGTCAGTTACTGTTTTAAGCACTGGGAAGGTGGTGGTGATGAAGATAGACATGGTTTCTGTAGCCGGAGAGCTTATTTTCTAGTCAGGGGAAGCAAGCATACATTAACAAAACAAAGATAATTCAAAGATTGATATATTACAAAGGAAATATAATGGGGTAATATGTAGAGAGTAACTAGAGGAGGAGTGGAATAGTGGTTGGTTCATTTATATTTTGACATAGGGAAGACTGTTCTGAGACATAATTATACTGAATTGTAAAAGACAGAGACCCAATAGATAATTGCCAAGGGTAGAGAAACTTAAAGAGACCAAACAATAATTTAAAATGCTCTTAGGTCAGAAGAAAGTATACATATTTAATCAACAGAAAGGAGACTGGAAGAGGGAGAGAAGTAGAGGAGAAGGTTAACACAGTAGATAGGCACTGAGGCATATATGGCTTGTAAGACACTTTGAGGAATTTTAAATGTTTTATTGATGCAATGGGAAACCACTGGAGGATGTTGAGCAGGGAAATAACATGGTATGATTTACATTTGGAAACTATTCTCCTGCCTGATTTACACAGACTAGCTGGGGGAGTGGGAAGGAATGGAAATAGGGAGATGAGTTAGACATTAGGTCACACTATGAAGACTGATCAGAAGTCCATTGAGGATTTTATTTTGGAGTCCCAACCATCAGGATTTGCTGAGAAATAGGTTGTGGGGGTAAGGGGAAGGGTAGAATCAAGAATGACTTCTAGGCTTTTGAGTATGCAGATGGAAAGTGGTACAATTTATTGAAATCAGAAAGACTGGTGGAGAAATATGTTTGGTGTGTAAATTAAAATTTTTTTCCTTATATGTATAGTTGAGATATCTGGTAAACATCCATATAGAAATGTCAAGTGAGCATCCAAAGTATCAGACCTGATAATAAAAATTGAGGTTTATTGCCATGCTGTATTTTTCAGTGAACTTACCTCCTTTTCTCTGCCATGAGAAGGATAAAAGGAAGTTTGCATTTTTAAAACAATGCCGTCTAACATTACAAGTTTACTTAAAAAGAATGACCATAGTAGATAGACAAAAGGACCACGGAGAATGGCATACAGTTATTTTGGTGGGAATATCTAAAGAACCTGAGGAACAGTTAGACATAGATATTAAAAAGAAGGGAGGAGCTAAAGTGGTACCATTAACTAAGTTGGGAAACAGGAGCGTGGCAATTTGCATTTTTGGTCCCAATTTTTCATCCTTTTGTCTATCCATACCCTTTGCCATATCATTACAATGACTTTCCGAAATGGATGGACACACTTCCACCCCTTGACTCTGGGTTTCATTATGTGACTAGCTAGGTGTTATCAGATGCGACTCAAACAAAAGCTTTAAAAAATACTTCCATAACTGAATTTCACTCCTTTGCATCTACTATTATCATAAGACATGCCTGAGTTGGCCTACTGGCAGAGAAGATACACATAAAGCAAAGCCAAGACATTCCTGTCAGCCCAGTTAAAGACAATTTAAATCACCCTACAATCAGCCAATCCCCAGACGCTTGGGCAGATTCAACCAAGATCAGCAGACCCACCTAGCTAAACCTTGCTACTCCCAGGCTTATGAACCACCTAGCCAACCTCAGCTGCTCCTAGTCATATAAGAAATACATTCTTATGTATTGTTTGATGCCCCTGAGCTTTTGTGGTTCTGGCAACAGATAATTGATACAAGGAGTAACTGGCTGCTGTTGAAGAAAGGATTCATTCAATTTTTGGACATGGTGAATTGAGGTGGCCAGTGGCAGCTGGGCATAGAACTCAGCAGCCACTTACATTCTGTGAATCATCAGCAGATATGTAGCTAAAGATGTAAATTTAGATAAAATTACCCAAGGAGCATATATATATAAAGTGAGAAGAGGAAGTTACCATGACTGAACTCTGTGGAAGACCTGTATTTGAAAGAAACATTGAGATTGAGAAGGAATTCTCAGAAATTTCTAAGAACTGGAAAAGACTGGTAGTGCAAAAACTAGGTTTTAACAAGGAGGAAGTGGTTAGCAGTGCAAAATGCCCCAGGGAGGCAACGTAAATATGTTTATACTCATTTTACAAATGGAGAAAGTGTAGTTTGAATTGTGTAATTAAGTTTGTTATGCATTATCATACAAACTAGTAAATAGCAATAAGGGTGCTGGAACCTAGGTCTTTTGATTCTTAACTCAGGACTTTATCATTTTTTATCATATTGTCTTTCCTGAGTATATACTTCTGATGCCTATAAATAAATTAATAAAATTATTATAAAGTATCTTACATGTATAAAATGTTAAGATAAAACAGTGAGATTTTAATATTTAGAATTAGATGACATTAAAAATATATATAACTCAGACCCCGCTGAAATTATAAAATAATTTTGTTACTTTATTGCATGTTTCCTTTTATCAATTTTTTAATATCTGATAAATATATTTTTATGTGATTTTTTTATATTCATTATGGATTGAAACATTGATTTTCCTCTTAAGTTTAATATTTTGAATTAATAATGACAATGTTAAACTATATTACAGAATGAACTTCATGAGCTTGAAAAACGAATAGCAACTATCTCTGCAGAAACTAAAGAAACAGAAAGACAAATTTATCAGCAAGATGCTGCCATAGAGAATACCAAACTTCACTGTGATAGCCTGGAAACTCAAATCAAATCCTTACATTCAGAAAATGTAAAGCTTAAATTTGACATAGAAACAGCCCAAGAAGATTTTGAGGAACACATGATAAAATATAATGCATATTATGCAAAAATAAAAACACATAAAAATAGTTTGGTAGAGGTAGAAAGCAAATGGTCATTTATGACTGAACTCTATGAAAAACGAAATTTTGTTAAAAAATTAAAGACAATGAAAGAAGAACTTATGCAAGATCTTCAAAATCCAGGAGGGAACCGAATAACACAAGTACAGGTTTGGAAATTTACTTAGCAAAATTATTTTTTTCTATTACTCTTTTTTGCAAGTACATACATTAAATGATAAATTTATTGTGAAGTTAATAAAATGCCCATAGCTGTTCTATTGCATTCAGAAACTATTTTCACAATTAAAAAAAAAACTTGGATAAGTACATGTGTTATATAACAACTATTCTAGATCCTCAAAAGTGTAAAGGAAACATCCACAAATCCCCAGTGGATTTAAAAAAATATATGGTCAACGAAAATCACAGTCAACAATTAATCCATTTGTTGCAGAAAGTATAACTCACAAAAATGTTGAAGACTTAGCTTCAACATGCCAGTGGATCCAGACCAATTCAAATCAATTTAGTACACTTAAATGCTGTTACACAAGCAATATAAATTAATAATTGCACCTTAAGCATCTTACTATTTCTCTTACTGTTCTTTGAAGGCTCTGGAAGACACAAACTTAAAATATTGATCATTTCTTGCTAGAAAATTTAAAAGTATCTTTTACACTGTTGGGCAGTTGCCACCATAACTACTACTTTCATTTTTGTCTTATTTTTGTACAATTTTTAGTTCCATTTCAAATGTAAGGTTTCTTTGTTTTAGTAACAGTTCTTTATTTTGTACACCTATAGAAGTAATATTCTAATGCTATTTATCAAAACTAAATTTTGATTTGGCTAGTTTTATTAAATTATAGAAACACTGAAAATATTGGATTTATATTGACTATACTTTTCTGACTTCTGTATTTCAAATGTTATAAACATACAGGAAGACATTACAAAGTTAAAGGATAAAATTATAACTGTAAAAGAATCTATCATTGTAAAAACTTGTTTTCTCGAGGAAGAAAAAAAGACACATGAAAAATTAAGAAAAGAAATAGAGGTAAGTCTTATCTAGATTTCAATGTTTTATGGGACCATTTTTAAACTTATATTGTATTCTTATTTCCATAGTTTACTTTCAATACTCAAAACAGCTGAAGAACTATAAAATTTAGTAAATACAAATTCTTAATAGATAACTAGAGATAACTCCCTGATTGAAAGATGTTCACATATATGAATATGTTCAAACAATGTAAGCATTTGCTACTGTTTAAATCTTGGTGAGCGTTCTTTTGCGTTCTTGTCATTCCACTAAGAATATGATACCCAATTAATGGCTAGAAAGCAGCTATGTAGTCAAAGAGGATGCCCATTCTTAGACATCAAAGACTTCTCAAAATAGAATAATAACACAATGGTAAGCGTTGTTTTTCCAAACCTCTCTGACTTCATATTTGCAATTATCAAGAGTCAAGTTAAAAAACAACTGCAAATATGCAAAACTGAAAATGAAAGTAAATTCTTAATGTGTTGTGGTGCCATCTGTAGACTTCTATAGTCATTATTGCTTACATGAATGGTGAACAAAAATGTAAAATAATACGCTATTAAGGCCAAATAATTTTCACCTGAATACATTAATTTGGAAAATAAAAATATGCATGTTTCAATTTGTTTTTGACTAGTTTGACACAATACAAAGCATCTGAAGAAATTGAAGATAAAAACCCTCATCTTTACATATTCGCGATTAAAAACATAATAATTTTACCGTATAGTCTATTACAATCTAAATAAATAAGGATTTTTCTGCCCTGTGGATGTTAAGGTTCATTATAAAACAATAAATAGTAAGACAGTGTATTAGTGGTATAAAAGTAGAAAAAAATTATTATTATTATTATTTTTGAGATGGAGTCTTGCTGTGTTTGTTGCCCAGGCTCCTCCTGGGTTCTAGCAATTCTCCTGCCTCAGCCTCCCAGGTGGCTGGGATTACATGCACATACCACCACAACGAGTTAATTTTTGTGTTTTTAGTAGAGACAGGGTTTCACCATGTTGGTGAGGCCAGTCTCAAACTCCTAATCTCAGGTGATCCGTCTGCCTTGGCCTCCCAAAGTGCTAGGTAAAGGCATGAGCCACCATGCCCTGCCAGAAAATAATTGTTAATGAAAAAAAGAATCCAGAAATTATGCATGCATGCATGGCAAAAACAAAAGAGATTACCTTTATGGAAAAACAAGGAAAAATGCTGAAATAAAACTGGATATCTGCTTCATAATACACACAGGTGCACACGCACACACACACATACACACACACAGTTCTGAGTATTGAATACAATGCGGGAGAAAAGCGTAACAATTAGTGTCAGAAAAGCATTTATTTTAAAAGAGAAAAACACTCCTTAAATTCTACAGTTAAGTATTTTTAGTTTTGACTATGCTGTAAATTTCTAGATTATGGGAATACACCATAACAAGAGAAAGAACAAGACTCTTCTCTAGATTATTATAACACATGTATGTGATAAGAGATAAGAAAATGTCAAATCAGTGAAACATTGGTCAAATGGTATAAAAAGACCATTTTTCTGAAACTTGAATATCAGAAATAAAGAAAAATATGACTGTCATTATTAACAATAAGAGACTGATAATTAAAACCACAGCTAAACTCCATGTTTAGCCCATCAGATTATCAGTATTACAGTTGGTAAGATGTTAAGCGTGGGAATTTTAATAGACTATTGTTGTGAGTATAAACTGCTAAAAGTATTTTGGAAAGAAATTTGAAATTACCTTGTAATTTTTTTACGATAACATATTTTATTGAGGTATAATTGTCATAAGAGTAAGTACACAAATTATAAATGGATAGCTTGATTTATTTAGACTAATATGTATATTTATTTAAGTTACTATTACCTAGATCAAGATATAGAACTTTCCCAGCATGTCCAGAAGGTTCTCTTCTACCCCTTTTATCAAACAGCCACTATTCTGATTTTTATAAACAACTTTACTAAGATAAAATTCACATACCATACAGTTCACCATTTTTTTTGTTAGATATTCTACCACAAAGTTTTAAAAATGAAAATAAATTATCCAGAGATTTTTTTCTTTTTATTTAAATTTTAAGTTCAAGAGTACATGTGCAGCTTTGTTATATAGGTAAATTTCTGTCATAGTTTGTTGAACAGATTATTTAAATGCCCAGGTATTAAGCCCATAACCCATTAATTATTTTTCCTGATCCTTTCTCTCGTCTCACCCTCCAGTGTGTGTTTCTGATAGGCCCCAATGTGTGCTGTTTTCCTCTATGTGTTCATGTGTTCTCATCATTTAGATTCCACTTATAAGTGAGAACATGCAGTATTTGGTTTTCTGTTCCTGCATTAATTCACTTAGGATAATGGCCTCCAGCTCCATTCATGTTCAGGCAAAGGACATAATCTCATTCTTTTTATGGCTGCATAGTATTCCATGGTGTATGTATACCACATTTTCTTTAACCAGACTACCATTGATAGGCATTTAGGTTGATTCCATGTCTTTACAATTGTGAATATTGCTGCAATGCACGTATATGAGTATGTGTCTTTATGATAGAATGATTTATATTCTTTTGGGTATATACTCAGTAATGGGATTGCTGGATTGAGTGGTATTTCTGTTTTTAAGTCTTTGAGGAATTTCCACACTGTCTTCCACAGTGGTCAAACTAATTTACACTCCCCCCAACAGTGCATAAGTGTTCTTTTTCTCTGCAACCTTGTCAGCATGTGTTATTTTTTTACTTTTTGATAATAATGATGATGGTATCTCATTGTGGTTTTGATTTGCATTTCCCTAATGATTCATGATGCTGAACTTTTTTTTATATGACTGTTGGCCACATGTATTTCTTCTTTTGAAAAGTGTCTGTTTATGTCCTTTCCCCGCTTTTAAATGGGGTTGTTAGTTTTTTTCTTGTAAATTTGTTTAAGCTTCTTGTAAGTGCTGAATATTAGACCTTTGTGAGATACATAGTTTGCAAAAATTTTCTCTCATTATGTAGGTTTTCTGTTTACTCTGTTGATAGTTTCTCTCACTATACAGAGGCTGTTTAATTAGATCCCAATTGTCAGCCTTTACTTTTGTTGCAGTTGCTTTTGGCATCTTCATCATGAAATACTTTCCCATTCCTATGTCCAGAATGGTATTGTCTAGGTTGTCTTGTAGAACTTTTATAGTTTTGGGTTTCATATTTAAGTTTTTAATCCACCTTGAGTTACTTTTTGTATTTGGTATGAGGAAGGGGTACAGTTTCAATCTTCTGTACATGGCTAGCCAGTTATCCCAGCACCATTTATTGAATAGTCTTCCCCATTGCTTGTTTTTGTCAACTTTGTCAAAGATCAGATGCATGGCCTTATTTCCGGGTTATCTATTCTGTTTCATTGGTCTATGTGTCTGTTTTCATACCAGTACCATCCTGTTTTGGTTACTGTAGCCCTGTATTATAGTTTGACGTCAGGTAGCATGATGCCTCCAGCTTTGTTCTTTTAGTTTAGAATTGCCTTGGCTATTTGGACTCCTTTTTGGTTCCATAGGGATTTTAAAATAGTTTTTTTCTAGCTATGTGAATAATGTCATTGGTGGTTTAATAGGAATAGCATCAAATCTATAAATTGCTTTGGGTAGTATGGCCATTTTAATAATATTCTTCCTATCCATGAGCATGGAATGTTTTTCCATTTGTTTATGTCATCTCTGATTTCTTTGAGGAATATTTTATAGTTCTCCTTGTAGAGATCTTTTACCTCCCTGGTTAGCTGTATTGCTAGGGGTGTGTGTGTGTGTGTGTGTGTGTGTGTGTGTGTGCGCGCGCGCGCGCGTGAACTGTGAATGGGATTTGGCTCTCAGCTTGATTGTGTTATATAGGAGTGCTAGTGATTTTTGCATATTGATTTTATATCCTGAGACTTTGTTGAGGTTGTTTATCAGCTTAGGAAACTTTTGGGCCAGGACTTTTGGGTTTTCTAGATATAGCATCATATTATCTGCAAAGGGTTAGTTTGCCTTCCTGTCTTCTTATTTGTATATGTTTTATTTCTTTCTCTTGCCTGATTGCTCTGGCCAGGACTTCCAATACTATGCCAAATAACAGTAGTGATTGTTATTTGGGGATGCTTGTCTTGTGCTGGTTTTCAAGGGGAATGCCTCTGGCTTTTGCCCATTGAGTATGATTTTGGCTGTGGTTTGTTGTAGATGGCTCTTATTTTCAGGTATGTTCCTTCAATACTTAGTTTATTGAGAGTTTTTAACATGTTAAGGGAGGTGGAATTGTATTGAAAGCCTTTTCTTTATCTATTGAGATAATCATGTTATGTTTGTCTTCAGTTCTGTTTATATGATGAATCATATTTATTGATATGCATATGTTGAACCAAACTTGCATCCCAGGTATAAAGCCTACTTGATGGTGATGGGTAAGCTTTTTGATGTGCTGCTCGATGCAGTTTGATAGTATTTTGTTGAGGATTTTTGCATCAATGTTCATCAAGAATATCAGCTTGAAATTTCCTTTTTGTTATGTCTCTTCCAGGTTTTGGTATCAGGATGATAAATTCAGTAATAAATTTCAGCTATTTATTACTGAATCAATTCCAGAGCTTGTTATTGGTCTGTTCAGGGATTCAATTTCTTCCTGGTTCAGTTTTGGGAGGGTATATGTGTCCAGGAATTTATCCATTTCTTCTAGATTTCCTAGTTTATGTGCATAGGAGTGTTTATAATATTCTCTGATGGTTATTTGTATTTCTGTGAGGTCAGTAGTAATATCCCCCTTCTCATTTCTGATTAAGTTTATTTTGATCTTCTCAATTTTCTTCTTTATTAGCCTAGCTAGCAGTTTATCTGTTTTATTAATTTTTTCAAAACACCAGCTCCTAGATTTACTGATCTTTTTAAAGGGTTTTCTTGTGTCTCAGACTCCTTCAGTGCAGCTCTGATTTTGGTTATTGTCTTCTGCTAGCTTTGGTTCTCTAATTCTTTTAGTCATGATGTCATG